CAGCTCGTTGATGACGTCACTGGACAGCTGCGTGTTGTCCATCAGCTCGGACATCTTATCGACGAGCGTCTGGCAGGACTGCGCCCCCCCCTGCGACCCCCCGGTGACCCCCGGCTCCTGCGCCCTCGAGTCGGCGTCCATCTCCCTCTCGTTGATCTTGGCCACGTGCAGGTTGATCGTGGACAGCGTGGAGGTGGCCACGTTGACCTTGTCGGCGAGGTCCTCCAGCTTGGCGTCGATGGCCACGAGTTTGGCGTTGAGTTGGTTCACGATCGCCTGCGAGTCCTCGGCGCTGAGGGCCGTCGACGCCGTGGAGGAGGAGAGGGTGGAGGAGGAGGACGAGGTGGTGGTGGAGGAGGCGGAGGTGGAGGATGGCGAGTGTTGGGGCAGCGTCAGGTTGAAGCTCATGAGGGAGGCGATCTTGTTGTTGATGTGCTCCAGGACCTTGTTCTCCAGCGCCGCGATCTTGGAGCCGAGGACGGTCTCCACCTCCTGGTAGGACGCGGCGATCTGCTGGCGGACCGACGTGAGGTACTGGGTGTTCCGGGACCGCAGGGAGGCGTCCATCCGCGTGGTCTGGTTCGTGACCTCGTTCAGCTTGCGCAGGACGTTGTTGTTGATGGCGTCGAACTTGGTGCTGACGTCCGTGTCGAGCTTCTGCAGCTTCGCCTCCAGGCTGGTGCTCGTCGTCTCCACGATCTCGGCGACCATGCTCTGGAAGTCCCGCAGGATGTCGGTGGAGAGGCCGTCCAGCCGGTTCCAGATGGGCTCCAGAGGGTCGTCCAGGAGGGTCGTGTTGAAGGCGTGGGACGAGGTCGTTGCTGCTGTTGTCGTCGCGGGACAAGAACAGACGAGCGCCGCGAGGAACAAACACACGCGGGAGAGTCTGTGGGATCTCCGCTCGGCCTCCATGGTGTCCTCTTCCTTCTAGAGCTCTTTCACTGGATTTTTTTCTTCTTACAACCTTTTTTTCTCTCTGATTTTTTTCTTTCCCACAAAAAACGAACAGAAAAAAACACACACAAAGCTCAAAACACGAGAAAAGCTAAACAACGAAGACACAACACAATCACCAATTAAAAAAGTGAGATTAACAACAATAATTTAAAAAATTGCTCAAGACTTCCACCGCTAAAACACAACAACAACTCCACAACGCGGACCTCCTCAGAGTGCCTCGTTCGGTGCCAGTGCCATCACCCAACTGAGGTTCGAGAGAGAGAGAGAGAGGAAGGGGCACTTTGGACCTCTTGACAGGACCAGCATGTGGCACTGTGCGAGAGAGGTGGGGGTGGGGTGGGGTGGGGTGGGGGGGTGCTCTGGGGAGATGGGACCTGAATGGGAGGCTGAGGGGGGAGGGGGAGGGCACTGTTTACGTAGGGAGGGTACAGGATGCCCCTCTCGCCCTCGCTCTCCTTCTTCTTTGCTATTTCCTTTTTCGTTGTTTCTCTTCTCTCTCTCTCTCAAACAATCTTTTTTTCATATCGCTTCCACTTTCTAATATCTATCTATATCTTTATTTTCCTTTTTCGTTGTTTCATTCTCCCTTTCTTTCACCCTCCCTCTCTTCTTTCTCCCTCCCTCTCTCTCTTTCACTTTCCCTCCCTTTCCCTATCTTTATCATTATTATTTTTCATCATTTCATTTTCACTCTCGCTCCCCCTCTCTCTCCCTCTCTTTCACTTTTCTCTATCCCCACCTCTACCTAACCCCCTTCCCCTTCACTAACCCCTCTCCTTCCTTCCCCCCTCTCCTCCTCATCCTCTCCCCCATAAGGCATCCACTTACCAATCCCACCCCCCCTCCTCTCTCATCTCCCACTCTTCCTCACCCCCCCACACACACACATTCCTCTTCCTCAATCCCTTTTCTTCCCCTCCCCCACTCCTCTTCCCCAATCCCTTTCCACTTCCCCTCTCTTCTCCTCTCCCCCCCCACCATTACCATCTTCGTCGCCATGCTAACTCCTGCTTCTCCTGACACCTTCTGGTCCTCCTGGCTCCCCACGGCACTATCTGGCACCTACTGTTTCTCTTGCACCTCTGCTCCTCTACCACCTCTTGCTCCCCTGGCACCTATTGACACTTTCGGCTCCTCCTGGACCTCTGGGCTCCCCTGGCACCTCTGGCTGGCCCTTGGCCCTCTGGCACCCTCTTTGGCTCCTCCTGGCACCCTTGGCACTTGCTCCTCCTGGCACTTCTTGGCTCCACTGGACATCTTGGTCCTCCTGGCACTGTCTCCCCCCACATTACCAATCCTTCGGCCAATGGCTCCTCCTAAAACCTGGCTTCCTCCTGGCTCCTCCTGAGACCTTCTTGCTCCCACTGACTCCCCACGGCTACCTGGCACCACTGTTTCTCTTTGGCACACCTTGCTCCTCCTGCCACTCTTGCTCCCCTCCCTCTCTTGACACATCTCGGTTCCCCTGCCCACTCTTGGCTCACTCCTGGCACCCTTGGCCCTCCTGCCACCTCTTGGCTCCTGCACCTCTATGGCTCCCTGGCACCTCTTGCCCTCCTACCCCTCTTGGCCTCTCCTGCTCCTAATAACTCTGCACCTCTTGCTCCTCCTGCACCTTTGCTCACTCTGGCACCTTTAGCTCCTCCTGCACTCTTGTCCTACTCGCACTTGGGTCTCCTTTGGCTCCTCCTGGCACTTCTTGCTCCTACTGGCCACATCTTGGTCCTCCGGCACTTCTCCCCCCCACCATTACCATCTTCGTCGCCATGGCTCCTCCTAAAACCTGGCTTCTCCTGGCTCCTCCTGAGACCTTCTTGCTCCCACTGACTCCCCACGGCTACTCCTGGCACCTACTGGTTTCTCTTGGCACACCTTGGCTCCTCCTGCCACCTCTTGGCTCCCCCTGCCTCTTGGACACATCCTCCCGGTCCCCTGGCACCTCTTGGCCTCCTGGCACCTCTTGGCTCTCCTGCACCTCTTGCTCCTGGGCATCCTCCTCTCTTTGGCTCCTCCTGCACCTCTGCTCCTCCTGGCTCCTCTGCCACCTCTGGCTCCTGGCATGGCCTTGCATCCTCCTGGCACTTCTTGCTCCTACTGCACATCTTGGTCTTCCTCACTTGCTCCTCCTGGCACTCTTGCTCCTACTGGCACATCTTGGTATCCTCCTGGCACTCTCCCCCCCACCATTACCATCTTCGTCGCCATGGCTCCTCCTAAAACCTGGCTTCTCCTGGCTCCTCCTGAGACCTCTGCTCCCACTGACTCCCCACGTCTCCCTGGCACCTACTGGTTCTCTTGCAAACACCTTGGCTCCCTGCATCTTGGCTCCCATGGTCACCTCCTTGACTCCTCCTGGAAAATTTCTTGGCTCCTCCTTGTCACCTTTGCTCCTCCTGGCACCTCTTGGCTCCTAGCCTGGCACTTCTTGCACCCTGGCACCTCTCGGCTCTTCTTGGTACCTCTTGGCTTTTCCTGGCACCTCTTTGCTCCTCCTGTCACCACTTGGCTCCTCCTAGCACCTCTCGGCTTCTCCTGACACCTTCTGGCTCGTCATGGCACCTCTCGGCTCCTCCTGGCACCTCTTGTCTCCTCCTGGCACGTCTTGGCTCCTCTGCACCTCTGGGCTCCTCCTGGCACCCTTTTCCTTTGGGCCTTTTTCCTCGGTTCCCCCTGGCACCTCTTGGCTCCTCCTGGCACCTCTTGGCTCCCCCTGGCACCTCTTGGCTCCTCCTGGCACCTTTGCTCCTCCTGGCACCTCTTTAGCTCCTCCTGGCACTTCTTGGCTCCTACTGGCACATCTTGGCTTCTCCTGGCACCTCTTGGCTCCTCCTGTCACCTTTCGGCTCCTCCTGGCACCTCCTAGCACCTTTGGGCTCCTTCTGGCACTTCTTGGCTCCTACTGGAACCTCTTGGCTCTTCCTGGCACCTCTTGGCTCCTATTGTCACCTTCTGGCTCCTCCTGGCAGACTCCTCCTGGCACTTCTAGGCTCCTTCTAACACCTGGCTCCTCCTGATTCCTCCTGGCTCCTCTTGGCTCCTCTTGCGAGTCTCATTTGCGGTCGCCCGGAGTCTGCTCGCCCCTGGCTGGCCCCTGGCGTGCAAAGAGCGAAGGAGTGAAAGGCGGTAAACAATCTTTGCCTTGTTTACGTTAATGGTGCTTTGCTGTGTCTTTTCGTGTTTCGTTTCCGAGTTCTGATGGGGGGGGGCGCGAGTCTCTGTCTTTTTTCTTTTTTTTTCTGTCTGGTCCGCCTGTCTGTTTGTTTTTTTTGTTTTCTTTCTCTGTTTGCTTTTTCTCTGTTTCTGTTTCTCTCTTTCTTTCTTTCTTTCTTTCTCTCTTTCTTCTCTCTCTCTCTCTCCCTCTCTCTCTCTTGTTCTGTTTCTCTCTCTCTCTCTCTCTCTCTCTCTTCTCTCTTCTCTCTCTCTCTCTCTCTCTTCTCTCTCTCCTCTCTCTCTCTCTCTCTCTCTCTCTCTCGCTCTCTCTCCTCTCTCTCTCTCTCTCTCTCTCTCTCTCTCTCTCTCTCTCTCTCTCTCTCTCTCTCTCTCCTCTCTCTCTCTTCTCTCTCTCCTCTTCTCTCTCTCTCTCTCTCTCTCCCTCTCTCTCTCTCTCTCTCTCTCCTCTTCCCCCCCCCCTCTCTCTCTCTCTCTTCTCCCTTTCTTTCTATCTCTCTCTCTATATCTATAAGGCAAGAGACCAAAATACTCCAAGTCATTGACATTTGCAATTCCTTCCGCCCAACCTGTTCAGTTGCAGACCTCCAGCCATTTCCTCTTCTGAAACTGCATGGCATATGTGTCTGCATGACCGCGTGGGTCTGTCTTTGAGGTCATTGGCGATATATATGCATGATTTATACACGCGCACACCACACACACACATGCACATACACACGTATATGTGTGTGTGTGTGTGTGTGTGTGTGTGAGAGAGAGAGAAGAGAGAGAAGAGAGAGAGAGAGAGTGAGAGGGAGAGAGAGAGAGAGAGAGTGAGAGAGTGAGAGAGTGAAGAGAGAGAGGAGTGAGAGTGAGAGAGATAGATAGAT